GCGTATAGAGAAAACACAGGGGTTATTCAATTTTTTGCGTTTTAATGGAAATTCCTATATGTTTATAGGCTCTGACTTTTAAATTGTGTTTGGTTTTGCCAATATAGTAGGCCTTACAGTCTCCACACGTGTAAAGATAGACAAGCCAAGAACAATAAGGAATGGGGAGGAGACCTTTAGTAGGGAAGACATTTTTTTATGAGTGATGTGGACTTAAAAACTAATCTTAAATCCACTTGAGGGTAGTAACGACCAAGTATGCGTTTAAGTTGATTTTTTAAATTTAAGCTTTGTTTGCCAGTATAAGGAAGACACGAGAATATAGTAAATTTAGGTACAGTTGGTATCTTAATTAGATTTGTGAGTTTCTTTGTTAGGAAGGTGTTGGTAATGTTTTCTAATAAGTGTTGTGGATAGCAGTTACGTTTCAGGATGTCATGTTAAAAAGAAATTTCAGAGTGTAGATTAAGATATTAAGAGCTTACAACCTGTGCTCCACATATCTTAATCTACACTCTGAAATTTCCTTATACATGATATTGCTGGTCAGTGAGTCAATGTTCCTTATTAATGATCTAGCTATATATCACGTCACTGTTTTATATTAAGGATCTAGATATACATCACGTCACTGTATCTTATTAATGATCTAGCTATATATCACGTCACTGTTTTATATTAAGGATCTAGCTATACATTATGTCACTGTTTTATATTAATGATCTAGCTATACATCACGTCACTGTATCTTATTAATGATCTAGCTATACATCACGCCACTGTATCTTATTAATGATCTAGCTATACATCACGCCACTGTTTTATATTAAGGATCTAGCTATACATCACGTCACTGTATCTTATTAATGATCTAGCTATATATCACATCACTGTTTTATATTAAGGATCTAGCTATACATCACGCCACTGTTTTATATTAAGAATCTAGCTATACATCACGTCACTGTATCTTATTAATGATCTAGCTATACATCACGTCACTGTTTTATATTAAGGATCTAGCTATACATCACGTCACTGTATCTTATTAATGATCTAGCTATATATATCACGTCACTGTTTTATATTAAGGATCTAGCTATACATCACGTCACTGTATCTTATTAATGATCTAGCTATATATCACGTCACTGTTTTATATTAAGGATCTAGCTATACATCACGTCACTGTCTTATATTAAGGATCTAGCTATACATTACGCCACTGTTTTATATTAATGATCTAGCTATATATCACGTCACTGTATCTTATTAATGATCTAGCTGTACATCATGTTACAGTACCTGATCTAACTGTACAGCATGTTGCAGTACCCGATCTATCTGTACAGCATGTTACAGTCCCCGATCTAGCTCTACAGCATGTTACAGTACCTGATCTAGCTTTGCAGCATGTCACAGTACCCGATCTAGCTTTACAGCATGTTACAGTCCCCGATCTAGCTGTACAGCATGTCACAGTCCCCGATCTAGCTGTACAGCATGTTACAGTACCCGATCTAGCTGTACAGCATGTCACAGTCCCCGATCTAGCTGTGCAGCATGTTACAGTACCTGATCTAACTGTACAGCATGTTACAATACCTGATCTAACTGTACAGCATGTTACAGTACCTGATCTAGCTGTACAGCATGTTACAATACCTGATCTAACTGTACAGCATGTCACAGTCCCCGATCTAGCTGTACAGCATGTTACAGTACCTGATCTAACTGTACAGCATGTTACAATACCTGATCTAACTGTACAGCATGTTACAATACCTGATCTAACTGTACAGCATGTTACAGTACCTGATCTAGCTGTTGCTTATTAATGATATTACTATACAGTGTGTCAGTATTCTGTATACATGATATTTTTGTAAGGCGTGTTATTGTTTTTTATTGATTATTTTTAAGGCGTGTTATTGTTTTTATTGATTATTGTTTAAGACGTGTTATTGTTTTTTATTGATTATTTTTAAGGCGTGTTATTGTTTTTATTGATTATTGTTTAAGACGTGTTATTGTTTTTTATTGATTATTTTTTAAGACGTGTTATTGTTTTTTATTGATTATTGTTTAAGGAGTGTTATTGTTTTTTATTGATGATCTTGCTGTGCAGCGTGTCACAGTTCCTTACTGGTTATCTAGCTGTGCAGTGTATCACTGTCGTTTATCGAGAATTTATATCTGTATCATCTTTTTGACTTCCTCTATACCCTATTAATTACTGTTTGTTTGTTTTTTTCTACCCTGTAGGTTTAGCTTATTCGGAGCTAAGTCATTAGAAGAATGTATTACTAAATTAGATTTGATTTTAAGTAATAATATATATATAAGTTTGTTATCTATAAATTTTCACCTCTGCTCTATGTTATTCGATATATTTGAGATCCTAGAACAAACATAGGTTGTCACAATGTAGTTGTATATATATAAAAAATATACGTTTGTCTTTTTCGTTGTTGTTGTTCTGCTTCGCGGTAACTACTACCTCTCTAGTTATAAATTGTTTCTCTACCAAAGTGTCAAAAGTGTAATAGCACATACAGAACGAGATTATATACCCGTGAGGTTACAGTTGCATTTCAGTACTTTAAAAGGAAATGCGTTATTTTGAATCTTATGCAGCAACGTATATACGAGGTGCGAGCAATGGTTCGTGAGTTTTATAACAATGTATTAGGAAATGAACGTTGTTTCCTTCAGCAAATTCATCGAAAAACTCATTTCTTCTTCGCTGTGCAAAAATTCCATTTGTTCTGATTCTGACTTGTTATGATGAAAGTTCGATATTTATATTTCTTGCAAAGTTTACATAGATAGTAAAATCTCCACTTGCGAAAAGTGTCAAATTGATAGCAATTTATTGAGATAATATACTGGTTGTTTACCTCAGTTTTTACAGTTGCTGTTATTGACAGATTTTCTCTTTATTTGTGAAAATTTCGCGCAAAGCTAAGCTTAACCGTTCATCATCGTGAAAAAATAAACTAGAGGTTAGGAATTTAGTCAACGTCACCCACCATCAGCTCTTGGGCTACTCTTGTCTGATCGAACAGTGGAACTTGACTGCCACTCATGTAGTGCACCTACAACCCCAATGTTCATAGTACATTTTTTTCTCTTTTTATTGGGACGCCAATCACAAACACTTTCTTTAATAAGAACACTGATACACCTGTATGAATAAATTTTCACTAAGCAAAAATGGCAGGCTGCTTAGATCGATTTTCAATAAAGCACAATAACACGATGTACAACGATGTCACCAATATAGAACAGTGACATACTGCACAGCAATGCTACCAATATAGAACAGTGACATGCTTCACAGCAATGTTATCAATATAGAACAGTGACATGCTTCACAGCAATGTCACCAATATACAACAGTGACATGCTTCACAGCAATGTTATCAATATAGGACAGTGACATGCTGCACAGCAATGTCACCAATATAGAACAGTGACATGCTTCACAGCAATGTTATCAATATAGGACAGTGACATGCTGCACAGCAATGTCACCAATATAGAACAGTGACATGCTTCACAGCAATGCTACCAATATAGAACAGTGACACAATGTTACCAATATAGAACAGTGACATGCTGCACAGCAATGTTATCAATATAGAACAGTAACATGCTGCACAGCAATGTTACCAATATAGAACAGTGACATGCTTCACAGCAATGTTATCAATATAGAACAGTGACACAATGTTACCAATATAGAACAGTGACATGCTTCACAGCAATGTTATCAATATAGAACAGTGACACAATGTTACCAATATAGAACAGTGACATGCTGCACAGCAATGTTACCAATATAGAACAGTGACATGCTTCACAGCAATGTTATCAATATAGAACAGTAACATGCTGCACAGCAA